TACTACTCTCTCTCTCTCTCTCTCTCTCTCTCTCTCTCTCTCTCTCTCTCTCACAGTATCGCTTCTTACAATACAGTATATGTATATGTACAGTATATGTACGTACGTACATATACTATTGGATACTACTCACATATTGATGCTTATCATAGAAAATTCAGCACATGATATTTTTCAAATAAATTTTTGTTCTCTAATTGATATTTTTCCTACTTCAGGTATTTTATGTATTACGACAATACTGATGATAATTTTATATATTTTCGTTAATATACAGTCAAATAATTTTAATTCAATTAAATTCAGTTTATTTTATTTTATTTTGTCTATCTTTTTCTAACAGCAGCTGTTGACAATTAGAGAAAAATCAATGAAACGAATAGAAGAATCATTTCACTGTGTTATATACATCTTACTTGTTATATATTATGTTATATATTATCTCAATATATCTTATGAGTAACTTAAAAGAGTAAAAGTATAATATATTACGTATAATATATTGAGTATATTAAATTAAATTATATTATAATATATTATAATATAATTTAATTTTTAGTTTTAGAAATAGTATAGCTTATGTTATTTAAAAAAAAGGAAAAGTTTAATGTATTATTATTTATGTATTTTCTCTTGTATCGAAAAAAACTCTCTTAGAGTATGTACATTGCATGATGTCTTATATATTGTATTTCAGAAATTGGCACATGTTGCACTTTTCGGCCGATTTTCTGATCAGCTCCTCCTAGCGCTTTTATTTCATCCTTTTATCATTGTAATGCAATGTAAGGGATTTGGATTGCGTATGATGAAATAAGAGGAGAATAGTGCTAGACAGAACCAAGTTAAAAATCGACCGAAAAATGTAACGCGCGTCACGTGCTATATTTGAATAAAATGTAAATTTTAATTGAGTCAACTAAATTTCTTGTTTATAGAATATTTCTTGGATATAGAATATGAAAATAAATCTTTAAATTAATGCAACAAAGAAATTTAGTTAGAAAATTAACATTAACATATAAATTTATTTTATTCAATATAATTTGAGCAAGATATCAACCAAAAATTTAGTTGTACGCAATAATAATTTTGTTTAATGAACAAAATTTTTATGTTAATATTACCAAATTTCTAATTAAATTTTTTTGTTGCATTAATCTACGGATTTGTTTGCCCATATCCAAATAAGAAATTTAGTTGATTCAATTAAATTTTGTTTTATCAACTAAATGGGTCTCTCAATACAAGAAGATGCTGTATAAGGAAATGTAATAAAATATATTAATGTTATAAAAAATTATTATGCAACTTATAGATTCGAAATTTATATCACGGATCGTGTATAAATGAAGGAAAACGTTTAATTGTATGCGCAAGCGAACAAGAGAAGAAAGATTTTTTTTACATTTTGTATTTCTATTTGTTTCATTTACATTTGTTTGATCCAAAATAAATATAATCTTGTATGAAACATATATTTGTGAATGACAATATTATATTAAATTATACTATTATTTTAAAAAAATAAATATTTAAGAGCACAAAAGTCAAAAAACATTGTTAATGATAAAATGAATATTAAATATTAAATCAATATATGACCACTAATTAATATAAAACAAATATTCGATTCGATCATACGATTTGGTCATCTTCAGTATCAAAATTTAAGATTATAAAAATGATTAATAATTTCGTGAAAAATCTGTTGATAGTAATCTGTTGATAGATCTGTTGATAGTAATAATTTCGTGAAAAATCTGTTGATTTGCCGCGAAATATTAACTCGAAAGCAACATATCGCATAGAAGTATGTACATAAAATTGCAGATAACAAAAGTTTGAATGACCTGAAGTTTGTTCGAATCCTTTTTGATTATGATCTTGTTTCGTATAGATTTTAAACGCACTCAAGTATTCATAAAAAAGAATCTTGGTCAACAGAAGAGATAGTCCACCAATTAAATAACCGCATCTCGCAGGGAAAATCTCAATATTCGTATCTGACATGAAGGAATTAAGGCATTGAAACAAAAGAAACAATAATAAATAAAAAATTAAAGAGAAAAATAAGAAATTTACTTATCTATCTTCGATTTACAATACTAATAAGAATAAATAAAATAACTAAATGTTAATTTATAAATAATAACTAAATGTTCTTTTTTTAAAAAAGAATAGTTACTTAAAAACTTCTTTCAAGTAATCATTTACGATAAAATTAAAAATTAAAATAAATGTAAAAATAACAATAAAAATAAAAAAAAATAAAAATTAACATTAAGAATAAAAATAATAATAAAAATAAGATAAAATAAAATAAAATAAAATAAAAATAAAAATACCTGCGAGATGGGAAAAGCCTTGAAGAAATGATAGCAAGTACAAAAAGTCAATAGAAAAGCGACATAATGTTATCCTTCATATATAACTTCGACAAGTAGAATAATCAACAGAGAGAAAGGAAGACGGTTCAAGTTAGATAAATAAAAAATGGAGGGAGTGATAGAAGAGGGGGGAATTAAGGAAAAGTTAAGAGCGAGAAATCTCAAACTCAAAACGGGAAAAGTTTTCTGGCAAGGAATCGATATCACTTTGTCTATTTAAATCCTGACGTTATTTTTTTATATGTATCATCTTTTATATCATCTAGAGTCTAATCTTTTATTTAAAGATGGTTCATTATCGAGAATTTCCACATTGTCCCAATGGAATTCGTGGTTATTCTCCAGTCTGTGACTTGTAATCACAAACAGAAAACCACAAATCTTTTTAATGTCACAACAGCTAATCTCATAGACCACACCTTAGTGCGATGACGGTTCCAGTCTATCTTTCCTCATAAATATAAAATTGTTAAGTGAATTATTCACCACAAAAACTAATTTTAAACTATGCTTTCTCGTAATGTGTCCGAATATATCGGATATATTCTTCACGTAAGGGATAGTAAAGAATGATTTTTGAGTGGATGTCATATCTAAATCATCGCTCTTACGTTTAACTACGCTGGTGACAGACAGAGGTTTGATTCTGTTCATAAAATAAACTCCATAGGATAATTATTATGAATTAATATCTCAACCAGAAATTCTAGATTTTTTTTTTCATGAAATTAAGGGTGTGATAGAAATAGAATTTTACTCAATTATGACTTATTATCACACCTTTTTTATGATTAACTGGATAATGAAAATTCAGGTATCTGCTGAAGTTGATAGATTTCTTGTATATGTCGAAAATTATCTTCCCTGCGTCCAATCCTATTAATGTGAGGAAACCAATACGATTGTTCTCTCTGATCTCCTTCGTAAATTGAAATCTCTCGTGAAATAAGTTAAATATTTTTAAGGTCATCTAGGGAATTAGTCGGAGCAGCAAATAGTATCATCAACTCTGATACAAAACGGGAGATCAACTGGGATGCAACCAACAGCAGGTTCCTCGAGGTCTTGCATCACCATGTCTTCAGTTATAGGTAGGATAGAAAGGAGGAGGACCATGGGTGTATCGAAGATCTGTTTATAGAATAACTATTAGTTTTTAAAAAAAAAAGACAATCTAATTATTCCGATCTATTCTTATTAGTATTGTAAATCATAGATTTCTTATTTTTCTCTTTTATTTTTTATTTATTA